TCTATGCTACCCGCTGAGTTCGTTAACAATTCCTAAATCCAATCCATTGCCCCCAGCCCCCGCTCCGCACTTCGCACTGAGCAGACCCCCCCCCACCCACCCCACACTCCGGCGACTCCGCCCGCTACTCGCCCGTCTCGCCGCCGACGCTGTCACGCTAGAAGCATCCACCCGGAAAATGGACAGCCGCCGCCCGCCACTCTGCCTGAGCCAGGTAATCCCTAACCTCATTACCTAAATTACCAAAGTTAAATACTCAATTTTATTTAATTATTTTGGATTTTCAAGTTTAATTAATATTTATTTTTAATTAAATCACCATTCTAGCCTTACAGATGGCTCATTTAATTAGTACACAGTTTAATACTAAGTTTAATTTTACGTAATAATTTCGATTTTAAAATTAGTTGGTAATTTTAGTACTCCGAAAAGTTTTATTTTAAATCACCTATTCACCCATGTATGTGCAAGATGAAATTTGTCGCAGTCGTCTCAATAAAAGTCTTTTCCAACCATGAAATCAAGAACTCCCCTTTAAGCTCATAGCCAGAAAAGACGTTGATTTGTTTCAACTTGATTAGATGATTACTCTTGGTTGGAAACTTGGAATATAATACTGCAAAAGATGTTTCCTTTTGTTTGCCATGTTACTTGTTTTAGAATGTGAGTGGCTCGGGTGGGGATCATTCTGTGGGTAGTGGATTCTCTGGTTGAAACAAAAAGGAAAGGTTTGACATTCATGTCGGTGGACCAAATAGCCTGCATTTTCTTTCTGTTAAAAGATGTGAATATTTAATGAACCAAAAACAAAGTATTGAAGTCACTCATGTCAAACAATCTGAACAAGCTAAGTTAAGTCAGATTATTTCACTATATATCTTCTTAGTGGGGGGTGGGGGACCCCATGACCTTAAATTCCTGGGTCTGCCCCTGAACGGTCTTTGCTGCAATTGCCGGATTATGTTTTTTTTGTAGGTCGTTGTGGACCTCAAAAAGATGTAGAGAAAATTAACAGTGTATAGTAATGGCAGCCGCCTCACAGTCTATCCGTCATCCACTTGCTGCTACCGGCGCTTGTAGTCTTGACGCTCTCAACAATGTACTCTCTGACCTCTGCACCAGAGGAAATCCTAAGGTAAAATTTTTACGGAGTAAAACTTTTGTTTTAAAATCATGTGCCTTTTCTTGAGTCTTATAGTGTTTTTATTGAAATGAAGACTTCTCCTAAGTTAGGAGGAAAAAGCCGCTAATAGAGAGAAATTAATTTTATGTATGTATGCAGTTTCTGAAGGGGCATTTTCGTGCGAAGATGCTTTATGTGCATACGAGATTATCTTTTAGTCAGCTTTTATTCTCTTTCTTAAAATACATTGTGTAGTGTATTTTGTAGAAATTAAAGACTTCTTTTAAGTTAGGAGGATTGAGTCGCTTATTGAGAAAAATCAATTTTATGTATGTATCCAGTTTCTGCATGGGCATTTTTGAGCAAAGATGCTCTATTTACATATGTGATTATCATTTAGTTAGCTTTTGTTCTCTTGTGTCAAGATGCATTTGTGATTTACTTTTCTGCAGGCACTTAATTTTGTTGAATAAAGAAAGTGGATCGTGATGTGATCATTTTTGGCTTGCACATGATATTTCAAACATTCTTACATGTTTTTTCATGTTATGTACTTCTACTTCATGAAGTTTTCTGATAAACTGTGAGCGCTGTTGTACTCCTAATTTAGTCCTGTAATGTATTTCGTATATCTGGTGCTAAACACAGGATGGGGCTGCAGTAGCTTTGAGGCGGCTTGTTGAGGAAGAAGCTCGTGATCTGAGTGGAGATGCATTTTCACGATTTATGGATAATCTCTATGAGCGTATTACTGTTCTTCTTGAGAGTAATGAGGTTGCTGAAAATTTGGGAGCTTTAAGGGCTATAAATGAATTAATAGATGTCACTATTGGGGAAAATGCATCAAAAGTAGCTAAATTTTCCAATTACATGCGAAATGTATTTGAAGTAAAGCGTGATACTGAAATTCTGGTACTTGCTAGTCAAGTTTTAGGCCACCTAGCTAGGGCTGGTGGTGCAATGACAGCTGATGAAGTGGAATGCCAGGTACATTCAGTTATAATTCTCTTTTTGTTATTCTGGGATTTTAGATTCTCATCCACCTGTTGTTTCAGGTGAAAAATGCACTTCAATGGCTTAGTGGTGACAGAGTTGAGTATCGCCGCTTTGCTGCTGTACTAATATTGAAAGTAAGACTGATTTGTTAAATTTTTTATGTGTATATTTTAAATGGAAGCATTAGCATCTTAGAAGCTTGTATTTCGAGTGGAACTGTTGTTCTTGTTGTTAGCTTATATAAATAGAGAGAGAGATATGTTCAAAAATAGGGAAAATAAATAAGTCTTATTTTATACTCCCTCTGTCCAACAATAAAGTTCCCATTCACTATTCACAGGGTAAGCTTTATTCATTTTGTTGGCTTATTTTCGTTTCCTATATGATAAAACAATATAGTCATGTCACCTCTAGTTTTGTAGATCTTTTCATTTAGTTTTTAAATATGTAATTTTTATTTTTAATTCCATACCAGTTTTCATATATGGACGGGAGTAGTTTTCATATATTTTAACGCGTAATGGGAACTTTATTTATGGACGGGGGAGTAGTTTTTACACTGCATCAAATTTATTATTTTTTTGTGATCTTTAATACGGAGTATGACTTGTAATTGCATACTTAGGCTTTTTTTTCCGGATTAGAATCCTTAACTTCCAACTTCTTCTAGTTTCTTCCAACTTCTTCCATTATCTTCAATTCCTCGTAGTTTCTTTTAAACTCCCAATTTCTTCCGACTATGGATTAGAAATTATTTATGTGCATTATGCATATTACCCAGTATTATTATTATTATAATTATGTATAAATGCCAATAAAATATTAAAACAGCTGAACTAATGACACAATTTATATTAAAAAATATTCCTTATGTCTTCAAGGTAAATTCTTGTTACCATTATAGGGTCAAACTAAATATTTTTCTACATATTTTCATTGATTATTTGATTAAATAACATAGTCACATTAAATTATTTGAAAATAACTTCCTGCAACCATTGTAAACCAAAACATGAATTTGTTTTTGGGACCTAATCCCCCAAGGTATGAATTAAACAACAACCCACCTGAATTCGCAAGAGTTGTGTAGGGTGTGTGGATGCATACCTTACCCCTACTCGAAACTAGAGAGGCTGTTTCCAAGAGCACCAAAGTATGAATATAAAGAATATAGTTCCCTTGTCCCACTAGTGCATGCAAATTAAGAAACATAAAATTTTTGAACTTTGATGTTAAAAAGTATGAAAAAAGTAAGAACAAGTCTGTGCCTCATAAATATTACTAAATACGGAATGAGACCAATAATTGGAGATACAAAAAAGTGAAATGAGACAATAGTGGATTAAAGAGAGTATAGCTTTTTTAAATAAAAATGTGAAATTATAAAAACATAATCTTTATTTCAATTACATCCAATTTCTTCTAACTCATAGTTTCTTTTAGCGGTGGACATGAATCCCACTACCATTGTCTTGTTCCAAAACATCTTTGTCCCATCCACATAGTATCTTGTCCCAATTGAGACGTCAAAGTTTTGTACCCAACATGTATCAAACTGATTTAAAGTGGAACTGGACAAAGACAAATAAAGATTGTTCGTTTTGTCCTGTTTGTACTTACACACTTTTTAAATCCAATTTTTGAAGATTAACATTCTCAAATGTTGTTTTTAATGCCTATGTTTCTTATACACATTGTTTGCATAATTATTTTGAATGTTTTTATAAAGTTTTCGTATTATTTTCTTATAGTTTACACCTTGCAAAATTTTATGTTTGTACTTTATATATTTTTTGGATTAGGACATCCCGATCCGTTTTGAATTGTCCCGATCTTGAATTGCATGGGAAAAAGTAGGACAACATCATGTCCCGCACTCTTCCGACTCGTTTCAACAAATCGGGATAGAGACCGGGACAACTCAAACTATGTTTCTTCCCACTTCCTGAAGTGTCTTTCAACTTCTTTCACATCCAACTATGTTTATCCTAACCAAAAGAATAGAGTCTTAAAGCACAAGAATAATTGAAAATATATGATACACATGTGTCAAATCCACAAATACCAATAAGAAGGGAATCACCTTCAGTCATTCACAAAAAAAGCTCTCTCTCCATTTCTTTCGGTCCATAACCACACTCTTTTTGAAATTCCTATATGAGAAATCACATTTAATCACCCTTCCCATGGCCTAATGGGTATCCCTCTTCTTTTGTAAAATTCATTTCTCAACCACTCAAATCTTTTATTGGGGAACACTATGCATGCCTTTGTTGTATCCCAACCACCAAAATCGATTGTCTCTTAATTTATCTTCAATAGATGTCACTTCTATCTTGTTTTGGATGATCTCATTTCCTATTCTATCCATTTTAGTGTGCCCACACATCCATCGTAGCATACACAGTTCAATTAACTTCATATGCATAATATGACACCCTTCAACACTCCTCCACTGCAACCTACTCGCCTTGACTTGATGATCAACATCTCCATCTTTTTGTATAATGGAACCCAAATTTGTAAAATGATCACTCATTGGGGTATATCTATCCTCTAGACTAGAGTCACGAAATTTCAATCCATGTTTCTGAGTTTCCAACCTTTGGCTCTATCATTTTCCTCCAAATTTCTAACTTCTCATTAACAGCCACTATAGTTTCATCTATCATAACAATATCATTAGCAAACAACATAGACCAAGGTAAAATATCTTCTATAGTCTTAGTTAGCTCATTCTTGTCATTGCGTGTCAACTCCTCAAAATCAGACTAAAAGTAACATTGATCATAAAACAAATTGAAGACACTTGTGAGTGTATAATAGTTGGCTCAAATCTTTGAGCACACTTCATTTGTTTGAATGTATGCATGCCTTCGAGTCCCAAAACCAAAATTGAAAACATGACTCCACAAAATCATTTTTTTTGCCAAAGTTTAGGCCCCATTGTATTTAACTTGTTTGTCTTATTGAAATCCTCTAAGGTTTTTTGCTTCACTTCATTTGGCTCCATGTAGCAGTGTAGCCTGTTTTTTGTGTGTATTTTCTGTGCGTATATCAATATATTTGATACTGTTCTGTAAAAGATCTTTCTAAAAAAGAATTCATCTTTAATGCAGGAAATGGCTGAAAATGCTTCAACTGTATTTAATGTTCATGTACCTGAGTTTGTGGACGCCATTTGGGTTGCACTAAGAGATCCAACACTTGCTGTTCGAGAGCGAGCTGTTGAAGCATTGCGTGCATGCCTCCGTGTTATTGAAAAGCGCGAGACCCGCTGGCGTGTTCAATGGTTAGCCTTTATTTTTATTTTTATTGTTATGTTAATGGTAAGATACTAATATGTTAACTATTGTTTGTTTGTTCATGCTTTCTTAAGGTACTACCGTATGTTTGAAGCCACCCAAGATGGATTGGGGAGAAATGCTCCCATCCACAGCATTCATGGCTCTCTTCTTGCAGTTGGAGAGCTTTTGAGGTTTGTTAGGAAATTCCATAGTTTACATTTATTTCACTGCTAGGGGGTACATAAGGTAATGCTTGATCTGGCTCTGTTTCTATGATTATTTCAACTTTGCATTATTTCGCAGGAATACTGGAGAATTCATGATGTCTAGATACAGAGAAGTAGCTGAGATTGTGCTTAGATACCTGGAGCACCGGGATCGCCTTGTTCGACTCAGCATTACTTCTCTGCTGCCTCGAATTGCCCATTTCCTACGAGATCGTTTTGTGACAAACTATCTAACGGTTTACACCTTTCCATTAACTTTCATGCAATGATGTTCGGTTTTAATTCTTTTGAGGATTATTAGCAAGGAAGATTTTCATCCTCTGCAATCACTTCAGTACTTTTGTGCTTTTCCCAGTTTCCACTTCTTTTATTATCATTATTATTAGTATTTTTTTGTGAATTCACAGATATGCATGAATCACATACTCCACGTGCTTAAAATACCTGCCGAACAAGCAAGTGGATTCATAGCTCTTGGAGAGATGGCCGGTGCTCTAGATGGAGAACTCATTAACTATTTGCCGACAATAACATCGCACCTTCGTGATGCGGTATGTGATGCGCTTAAGATTGTCTCCTCCTTGGATTAATTAACCCCACCCCCTCAATGATTCCTTGAATTTTCTAACTTACATGTTGCTGCATGCAGTATTCTTCTTGGTGCGGTATGTAACGCACACGTGTCTTTATTATCTTCTCCTACTGATTCCACCCATCTACTGCATTCATTTTCTTATTTTCTCCATGATGTGCCGTGAAACCGTTTTTCTTTGTCATGAAAATCTATTCTTTGTGTAGATTGCACCTCGTAGAGGCAGGCCTTCAATGGAAGCAATTGCTTGTGTTGGAAATATTGCAAAAGCAATGGGTCCTGTGATGGAGCCTCATGTACGGGGTCTCTTGGATGCCTTGTTCTCTTCTCGTCTCTCCCTTACATTGGTAGAAGCCCTAGATCAAATAAGTATAAGGTATTTAGCAAAGGTTGCATTTGCATGTATGTACTTTCTCTTCTGTACTCATGCTCAAGGGTTTGAATTCTTCCATTCTATCACAGCATCCCAACATTGTTACCTACAATTCAAGATCGGTTACTTGACTGCATTTCGACAATACTTTCAAGATCTCACCAGTCACGACCTTCAGTGGCCTCAAGTAGGGGACACGTTGCAAATGCCACTCAACAAGTGCCAGAGCTTAGTGGTTCAGCTCTTGTTCAACTTGCTTTGCAAACTCTTGCTAGGTTCAACTTCAAGGTTTGCCAACCTACTTGTGTGCATGCATGATTCCTTGAATGAATTTTCTAACAATCAGTCCCCATATCTTAGGGCCATGATCTTCTTGAATTTGCAAAAGAGTGTGTTGTGTCATATTTGGAAGATGAGGATGGTGGAACAAGGAAAGATGCAGCCTTGTGTTGCTCCAAACTGGTATCAAATTCTTTATCTGGGATCTCGTGCACACAGTTCACCTCTAGTAGGATTAGCCGTACCAGTGGGAGGCGACGCCGGCTTGTTGAAGAGGTTTTGCTTCTAGTTACTCATCTTTGTCGTTATATGAGTTTGATCTTAAAAGTGATAAACTAAGTTGCGTATCAAAGCTATGAAAACATTGAGAAAAGGATATTAATATTGATAATCTAGGTCGTGGCGATGTTATGGTTGAAAATAACATATTTAAAACATAGGTTTTGTCGAAATAACTCGCCGGTCCCTCTATTTTCAAGAAGGCAACGGAGGCCCTTAATAAATGCATTTTTTTTCCTATTTTGCCCTTAATGTTATTTGGTAATAACTCTTAGGTCCCTCACCTTTTGGTTTCTTTGTTTTTTTAAAACATTTTTTTTTAAAAAATTTCTTCTAGAATATACCGAGTAAAATAAAAAATAGAAAAATAAAGCAAGATTTTTTTCCTAGAAAGTTCTCAAGGTTCTTTTTAATACTTTGTACAAGGTATTCAAAACAAAAACGAGATCTCATTTTCTTTTTCGATAAGGTCATTATTTCATTTATTCTTATATCATACAAAACTTTGAAAATTTGAAACTATTTTCTAGAAGAAATTTTAAAAAACTATATGAAAAACAAAACGAAGTGGAAATAAGAGAAACAAAGAAACCAAAAAGTGAGAGACCTAAGAATTATTACCATAAAATATTATAAAGGGCAAAATAGGAAAAAACGCATTTATTAATGCCTAGGGATGAAGTATTGGACATAATGTTTCCTACAAAATTGAAGGAGCTCTGTTGCCATTTTGAAAATAGGACGTGAGAGTTATTTCGACAAAACCTTCGTCATCGAGTAGTAATTTTTTGTAAAGTTTGCTGCATACACTTATGCAAGCATATTGTGTAAAAAATTGAATTTATCCATTCAGTATGTATACATGCCACAATCATTTTTTCATGTGTGATGTATAATCATTACATATATGATATATGTTTGCTTGTAATTTACTTTATGTTCCATTACCCGAAATATAGATATGCAAACCCTTCAAATTTTCTATGATAACTTTGTGGTGATAAACACAAAATTATACTATCTAATCAGTTTATAATCGTGATTCATACTTCATAAAGTTGAATTTTTGTGCAGATAGTCGAAAAACTGCTTATTGCAGCCGTTGCTGATGCAGATGTCGCTGTCCGTCATTCTGTTTTTTCTTCTCTGTATGGTAATGGCGGGTTTGATGATTATCTGGCTCAGGCAGATAGTTTGACTGCTATATTTGCTGCTCTCAATGACGAGGTACAATTTCAGTTTACCTGATAAAAGGCTTTCTGTGATCTTTGACTTTCTGAACTATCACCATTACTTTTACCGTAATGGTTGTTTCCTACTTTCAAGCCAATAAAGAAAATACATCAGTTGCACTTTCTTTCCCAAATGGACATTATCTTTTTAGAGTTTGTTTAGTTTCATTCTAAGCGAACTGTTTATGATAGTGTAGCATTTTTTGATTTAAATCTTTAAATGCATTTTACTTTCATATTTATAAATACTTACTCTGCTTCATTCTTTATGTTTTCTGTTGCATTGGTAAGAAAACTTATCAAACACCATTTATTAATTAATCTTAGGGCCTGTTTGGAATATAGGAACTTCTGGAAAATAACTCTTAGAATTTTCCTTTTCTGGTGTTTGGCTAAAAGTATGAAAGTTCTTTATTTCTGTTTGGTTAATTCCTTGAGAATGAAAGTCAAGAAAAGTAGCGCCCGATTTGAACTAGGGGAAGGTACACCTCAAAGCACGTCAACCAGCAGAGACTTGAACCAGCGAAGTAGACGAAGGAAGAAGGGGAAATGGTGGGGTGTGCGGTGGTGCACGCCGCAAGACTAGAATCGGCAGAAGAAGAAGGGACTCTTCATCGAGAGAGATAACAAGCTAACACCCAAAGTGGATGAAATAAACTAACTTCTTTGATTGTGTGGTGCGCAATATGAAAACACACAAAAAGGTGAAGAAATCACACCAATTCCATGAACTCCACCCTAATCAAAGCTTGGCTATGGCGTCGAACACTGTTAGGCCAAGTTACATAGCTCTTGAAAATGACTTCCAGATTTTAAAGGCAGATGTCATTTTTCTAATTTTAGGCCAGATTTTCTGTTTGCCTGAAGCTTGTTTTCAGTTGACCTCCAATTTCCAATTTAACCAAACACTATAAAATGAGGAAATGACTTTCGAAAGTCATTTTCCTCTTCCAAAAGGAGCCTTAATATGCCAAAGTGTGTAGCATCTCTCTCGACACAACAAAGAGGTGTTGGACCTGGCGTGCATTTATAATAAATGATATTAAACCTCATTCTCTTGTTTGTGCGCACACATTTGTGGGGATATTCTTTTTTATTCGCCTGGTTTAGATCATAGTTATCAAGGCGTCGCCTAAGTGTCGCCTAGGCGTCTGGGCGAGATATTGGGGACACCAAATTGGTCACCTAGCTTTTTCCGCCTAGAATTTGACTTGTCATCTATTAAAACGCGGCAGGTTACCTGGAAAGATCTGAATCGCAGCAAAGATCCGGAAATTGAAGGTAAAAACGTGGATTCGAATCGTATAATCGTCCAATTGAGGCACGATTTGATCTTTGAAAATGCGATGCGGGTCGGGCGAGGAAGTGAATTTGCTTCTCGTCGGCTTAATTAAAAGATTAAGCCGGCTACTCGCGGGTTACGACTCATTAAAAAGTATAAGGAACAAGACTTTGTGGGTCGGGTCGGGTAGTTTATGTGCCTAAATTTATTTTAGAAAACATAAATGGGTAGTGGGGGTACTGTACACTGGGAACTACTCTAAAAATTAAAAGAAATACTCGGGGTAATACTTTTTGGGTACTGTATTTGCCCTTAATTCATTTATGGAGATGGAGAAGTGGGGGTACTGTACTGGGAACTATTCTGAATATTGCAATTTCTAATTACTCATACTATTCTATACTTAAAGGTTTTTTTTCTTCATGTCGTTTGGTATCTGACTTGATGAGTTGCTTCTTTGAATTTTTTATACTCCCTATTTATATATTATCAACATTTTGGTACTTATTTTTTAGTATCACTGTACTATTTAATCATTTTATTTATTTATTTCATACTATGCGTGTATACATTAGTACCTAAAAAATTATCAATATTGACATATCCCACTCGCCCAAGGGACGCCTAGGCGGGCGCCTAATCGCCTAGGCGTCTGAAAGGTGGTCTAGCGCCCAGCCTCGCCTAGTTGCCATAACAACTATGGTTTAGATATTCTTTGTTTTATTTGCCTTGGGTCCTGGTTTTGGATTTAATTGCAAAAGCATGTTGACTATGACGGTTCATACACATGACTCTTATGCCAATTTTTTCATAAAAACCTGAGAAGGTTCATCCGATATAATTGAGTAATCTGTGTGTATTTTTTGGATTCAGCATTTTTGCTCTCCAGTTAGGCTATATTGTCTATTTCATTTTCTTGCCATGATATCGGTTCAATCTTTCCCATTTTCTTTTGCTTTTGCGTAGGATTTTGAAGTTAGGGAGTATGCAATTTGTCTCGCTGGAAGGTTATCTGAAAAGAATCCAGCTTACGTTCTCCCAGCACTCCGCCGACATCTTATTCAACTGTTAACTTACCTAGAACAAAGGTTTGCTAATGTTTTTATGTTCTAATGTGAGTGGCTATCGTAAGAGTTAATCTTAAATATGATAGTTTGTAGTTTCTGTATGCCTATGCACCATTTTATGCTAATTACTCCCTCTTGCCCAAAAAGATGTTTTCGTTTTTCTTTTAGGCTTGTCCTAAAAAGCTGTGTATGGTTTGACTTGCATGTAGATTATGAGTGGAACTAAAGTTGAGTATTTATTTGTGTCAAGTTATTTGATGAAGAGATAGATTTAGTTTGAATTGATGGATAAGTAAAGGAAAAAGTTGATAGAAAACTTGATGTGGAAGATTGAGAATATCAAAAAAGGAAGTATGCAAAGTAATTTGGAATATATAAAAAATGAAGTGGGCAAAGTAACAAGGAACAGGAGTATCAGTTACAACATTACAAAAAGCAAATTAAGGGGGTGTTTCTCTGTGGTGGTGCTTATTGGCTTATTGCCGATGAGCACTTTTTAACTTATAAGCGGCTTACAAGCAAATTATTCTTTCATGGAAGTAAATTGACTTAAATGATAGAAAAGTTATTTGGGAATATTCGTAAATGGTGGGGGATAGTTTTGTAAATAATCTTGTCAAAACGGAGAAATTAAAAAACTTGCTTAAAAATAAGTAAGACCTACTTTTAACTAAGCAATAAGTTAAAAACTGTTTATAAGCAATTTTGACCGGCTTATTAGCATAGAGAAACACCCACTAAATTGCAAGTAACTTTAGTCAAGTTTCAAAATTATTGGAGGTGATATGGAATGTTATAGAGGGAGTGGTATGTTAATTTGACTTTTGCGGGCGTCTTAAGAATTTACCTCATCTATTTTGCGATATGGAATTATTTTTTCTTTTTTTATTTTTGGGATAGTATAATTGTATAAGCCTACTGGGTAGGCCAGTACTGACGACTTCCTTTTGCAATAAGCTGTCGACTTAGGCTTCAAAATACCTTTTTTTACAATATTACCACTTACCAATGTGGAGTACTTTTTTATTCTTTCAATAAAAGTGCTCCTTTACTTTTTATTTTCCTTTAGTGAACTTCAATAAGCCTACTTTTTTATTCTCTTTTGGAGTAAGCTATTTTTTTATTTTTATACAACTGCCATAAATTTTAAATATTACTCGGATCTTACGATTCGAGCTACGATCCACGATTTACGATCTGCTGACCCCACAACGATCTTAACTGAGATCTCGAGTTTAACAACCTTGATGAGGATAGATATGATTCAGAAGGAGGTTATCCGAGGATGGGTAAGAGTGGCACTGGTGGAGAATAAACTGCTGGAAGCTAGGTTGAGGTGGTTTGGGCATGTGAGGTGGCGGAGTGATGAGGCCATAGTGTGCGAACTGCGGAGATATGAGACGCTTACAGTGGTAGGTGTGAGTTTGGGGAAGGGGTAAACTTAGGAAGAATTGGAAAGAGGTGATTAGAGAGAACTTAGAACTTTTATCCGTTACCGAAGATAAGGACATTTGGAGAGCTAGAATTAGGGTAGTTGGGTAGGCATTTTTGGTTTGGTGGTAGTTTTTGCACTTGCTGTGTGCTTTTCAATTTTCATGTTCAGTGCTTTCTTCTTGCTGTGCTTTTCTTTTGTTAATATTAGTTTGTTCTTTGCTTTTTTGTGCTATGTGCTCTCTTTGTTTTATACGGAGTATGTTTTATGTGAGGTTGTGCTGTCTCTGTTAGGGGGTCTCTTGGAAACATCCTCCCCACTTTCGAGTAGGGGTAAGGTCTCCATACCCCCTCCCTCCACACCATACTCTCGTGGGATTCAATAGGGTTATCGTTGTTGTTGCTGAATCTTCTCATATTGGTCTAGCTTTTATATTTTCAGTGCTGATAACAAATGCAAGGAAGAGAGTGCAAAGTTATTGGGTTGCTTAATCAGAAGTTGCGAGCGACTGATTCTTCCATATATTGCTCCTATACACAAGGTTGTCTATTCATGCTAGTTAGGAATTTTATAAAAATTTTTATTCAGCCTCTTTATATATGATTTGTATAACACCTTGCCTTCCAGGCACTTGTTGCCAAACTACGTGAAGGAACGGGAGTCAATGCAAATAATGGCATTATTAGTGGCGTTGCTAAACTACGTGAAGGAACCGGAGTCAATGCAAATAATGGCATTATTAGTGGCGTTCTGGTTACTGTTGGTGATCTCTCCAAAGTGGTAGGTTAATCTTTAATACATAGTAGTGATCTGCATTTAAAATGTCGGACTGGAAACTTTATCACTTGTGGACTTTTTTTTCCTTTTATAACTTAGGTTTTAGAGTGATTTCCCAAAATGGTCCTTTCTAATAAGGTGTTTTCCCAAATTAGTCCTGAATAAACAATAATTACCAATGTGGTCCTTTGTAATTAAGATGTATTCCCTAAATAGTCATCTGTCGAAAATGTCTACTAACTGTCAGTGAAATAAAAGGAATTTTGGTATTTTCTATGATCTAGACTTAAAGTATGTTCTCGAAATGCTCCTTTATAATTAGGCATTTTTCCAAACTGATAATTTCTAAGTAAATATTTTCCCGAAATGGAGTCCATGAGCCTACTCGGGGTGGGTCCGTTCCTCTCGCACCCACCACTTAATTTGAAACGACCATTTTGAAGACTTATTCATAGTTTAGATGATAGAAAATATAGAAATACCCTCCATTTAACCTAATCAGAGGACTGATTATGGAATAAATCTAATTTACAAAGGACATGTTGGTAATTATTGTTTATTGAGAACTAATTTTGGAAAACACCTTATTTGAAAGGACCGTTTTGAGAATTTATTCTATGTTTTAAACTATTAAGGCATGCACTATGGAGTTTAAATATAAAATAGAGGTAAATATGAAGTTTTTGTATGAATGACCCAAATTTCTTTGTAACTTGGTAACTGTCTTTGATTATACTCCGTATGATTAAATTTATCAATTATTTTTTGTGTAAGAGTTTTTTACTTCATTGGCCTGCAAATTTACACTTACGTTTTGTTTGTCCTAAAATAAACTTTGCTTTTTTTGCTTTTTACTTTTCAACACTTTTCTAAAACTCAGAAGTCATAGTGTAAACATCACTCACTCACTCACTCACTGTCTCTCTCTCCCCTCCCATTGATCAGGGTGGTTTTGCAATGAGGCAATACATTTCAGAACTGTTGTCCCTAATTGTAGAGGCTTTACTAGATAGTGCTGCTGCTACTAAACGTGAAGTTGCAGTTGCTACGCTTGGTCAGGTTGTACAAAGCACAGGGTATGGTATACCTATTCTTTTTGTACTTCATTTCTGTTTCTCCAATTTTTTATAGGATCTATTTATATTTTGCAGTTTAAGGTTGTCACATACCTCAGTTCTCCCTTTTAGGTAAGTAATAACTAATAAGTAGAGATAAAACAGGATAAAGTTGGCTACCTTATAGTAAAAGATAAATTATTAATTTTTTTGAATTAAAAGAGAAAAGCAAACCTAAGGGTCCTGCAAGTGATTTCAGTTATCCAATACGGAGTAAGAGAAAGGAGACAAACTATAGAGAAACAAAGCAATTTTTAGCGTGGAAAAATGTTTGCCATTGCGTGTCAGACGGTGAATTTGCTTAGGCCTCTAGATACATTTAATATTCCCTCCGTCCTTTTTTAATCTACTGCATTTGTTTTGGCACAAACACAACAACCCAGTAGAATCCCACATATGGGGTCTTGGGGAGGGGGGATAGTGTTTTTGCTGACCTTGCGTGTGTATAGAAAGTGTAGAGAGGTTGCTTCGGCTCAAACACAAAAACACAGAAGTTAGTAAAGTCTGGCCATTAGAGAGAAATCAAAGGGAGAAATGGTAAATCCAAGCTGACAGAGATAAACCAGGTAATCATCTAACTAATCCTGGTTGTCCTACGCACAACGAGAACCACCCTTAACAAGCCCTACGCTACAACTGTAATTCTCAATCGCTTAACATATCTACTGCCATGTCCTCGGTGAGCTCTCGAAGCCTCCAATCTTGGCATAACCACTTCACCCCAATGAAGATATTATTCAGCTCCAAACCAAAAAGGAAAGTGGTAAGATTAACAGGGGATGTAGGTAGAGCTAGAATTGATTAAAAAATGGGTCTTACATCCCCACAGATGAGGCTGGCAATTGCATTTGATAACAAGATTATTTGTTAGAAGTGAGTATGTGTATAAACACTTGAGCTTTGTGATTCTGAAGGATAAAGCTGAATACATAAATTGTGTCATTAACAGTAATGAAAGATGAGCAAGGAAGCAACAAAATTGGCTGGCCATTCATAAGTCATAACTATGATGATTTTAGTGCTTTTGGAATCTTATGTGATTGTCTTGTCTCCAGTTCTCCACAGATATGACATGTATTTTCTCATTTAATTTTGACCAAGAGGGGTGATGTATTTATATGATTGCTTAGCTGATATAAGAATTACAGATGGTTAATTATTGCTTACTGTTTAGTTTCATTTTAAATTTGAATTCAAAATTCTTCAACTAAAAGAGAACATCCCAGAACATATGATCATATTTCCATCCATGATTAACAGTTATGTCATTGCTCCTTACAATGATTATCCACTATTGCTTGGTTTACTCCTAAAACTGCTAAATGGAGAGCTGGCCTGGTCTACGAGACGTGAAGTTTTGAAGGTAGCCCTTGATCTTTGTTGAATGTGTTATGTTTTAGTGCATTTTTATATTGAGAATTGCTTGTCAACTGTTATATATGTTAGGTTCTTGGAATAATGGGTGCTTTGGATCCTCATGTGCACAAACGCAATCAGCAAACCTTACCTGGACCGCATGGCGAAGTTACTCGCACAGCTAATGATCCAGGTCAACATATATGTTCAATGGATGAGTTGCCTATGGATCTTTGGCCATCTTTTGCAACATCAGAAGATTATTACTCCACGGTGGTGCTTTGACTGAAGGCATATTGTTTTTTTGTTCTGAAATAAAAGTTTTAACATATTTTAACAGACTTCTAATGCTATAGGTTGCTATCAATTCTCTCATGCGGATTCTTAGGGACCCTTCCTTGTCTAGTTACCATCAAAAAGTTGTTGGATCTCTCATGTTCATTTTCAAGGTTTATTTAGACAGACTTCTCCATTTCCTAAAAAACATTTTTCTACTTTTATAATGAAACTCATTTCTTCCATAACTTTTTCATGGCAGTCAATGGGGCTTGGATGTGTCCCTTATTTGCCGAAGGTTAGTGCTATCAGTTCCAGACACTTGAATTATAATTTACTATACTTGTCTTATCTCTAGTTCCCTCTCTCGTTTTTTAGCACTCATATCATCTGAATTTACAATGCCTTGTGATCCATGTACCAATACAAAAAAGAAAGCATTTCACAAGTGAATAATTCTATTGCACTCCACATTTGACCCCGACAACATAAGAGCGCTATATATCCTTGCATTTGAGGCTTTTAGTGTTAAGTGATGGGTCAAGCTCTTTACAAAAAAACTGACGTTAAATATAAATCAAGTAAATTCTCTAAGACATGATATTTAATGTCCAATAATTCCTTAACAGGATTTCTTTTGTGAGGGACTTGTGTAATAGTTCTTGTGCTGAACTTTTCCTTGTTTATGATTTCCAAACTTGTGCACTTCTCTTGTAGGTTTTGCCGGAGCTCTTCAATATTGTTCGTACATGTGAAGATGGTTTAAAGGAGTTCATAACATGGAAGCTTGGGACACTGGTTTCAATTGTTCGGCAGGTAATTTTTCTCATAAGGCTATGTTTATTTTTGCTTCTTATGCTGTTATATTAATATTAATCATTCCATTGTTTTGTGCTTGTAGCATGTTCGTAAACATCTTCCAGATATGCTTTCTCTGATATCAGAATTATGGTCATCCTTCTGCTCGTCCTCGGCTAATCGATCAGTTCATATTTCCGCAGTAAATATGATTTGAATTATTTAATCTGATATTACTCATATTATTTATCATTTTATTGGCCTGGTTTAATGTTGAGCATTTTTTGTTATGGCTGTTCGATAATCTCGTTTCAAAACTATTAGATACTGCATCTGGTGGAGCAACTCTGTCTGGCACTAAATGATGAATTCAGAAAGTTTCTTCCAAAAATACTTCCCTCTTGCATTCAGTTTCTTAGTGATGCTGAGCGGTCTAATGAGTATGATTATGTCCCCAATATTCTCCACACACTTGAAGTTTTTGGTGGTTAGTTTTCCTTGATTTTTGTTACAATTTATTAAAGCGTTAAAATTGTTTAATATACTGAATGTGGATGTATGTGTGTAGTCACTAGTGTAATAAACACACACACACACACACTTTTTGTATGAAATCTCAATATCTCATAACTGAAACATTCTACAGGTTCACTGGATGAGCACATGCATCTTCTTCTTCCTGCTCTCATTCGTTTGTTTAAAGTGGATGCTTCAGTGGAAGTAAGGCGCGGTGCTATCAAGACTCTAACAAGATTAATACCACGTGTACAGGTTTGTCCTAGTTGAGAACTTCAGATAAATATATATAATTTATTGCATTTGTCTCAACTCTCGTTCTTCATCATATATGTATATTTTTTCACCAGGTCATTGGTCACATATCTGCTCTTGTACATCATTTAAAGCTTGTCCTGGATGGGTCTGATTCTTTCCCTTTCTCTTCATTTTAATCTACATGGGAAACTTAAAGTAAACCTGAAAAGTGTTTTTGCACACTATATTATGTGGCCTGTTTAAATTTTTGCTTGAAGACCACTATCAATTATGTAATGACCAGCATTACGATCAGGAAAATTTCACTGGCTTAATTTCTATGATCAAATGGAAGTGTGTGACTTTGTGTTTGGGTTGGGGTTCTGGTGAGACCCCAATTATATAGCAGGGGCGGAGTCAAACATTAAATTTTAGGGGAATAAGCATATAGGATCTTGATATTTGAATTTATCAATTTAAGGTTTTATAATACAACAACAAACCCAATAAACCCCACAAAAATAGGGCCTGGGACTCTGGGGAGGGTGTATGTACGTAGACCTTGCCCCTACTCCAGAGTAGGGATACTGTTTTGGGATTATATAACACATACTCCCTCCTTCCTACTGTATACGTCAGCTTGACTTGAGGAGGAACGTTAATCATCAATTACTCTCAATTTGTATTGCATATTGCAATGAAACTTTGAAAGTTCTCTACAAGTTAAATCTAATTAAATTATTTTATACTAATATACATCATAATTTTAATTTAATTGAGGGCCAAAGTTCGTCGAGTTTGACTCGAAAAAGTCAACTGGATGAATGCACTAGGACGGAGGTAGTAATTATTAATCTGTTAATATTTTTAAAAGGGACCCAGATACTATTTGTATATATGTTTTCAAACACACACACACACAGGTAATTAGTAGAAAAATTGTGGAGGGTTTGTTAGAGATCCCAAAAACTATCTGCTTTGGTCAATTCCGTCTCTGTTTTTTGTAGGTTTGGGTTTGCTAGATATCCCAAAACTATCTGTTTTGTTTAACTCTCCAGGATTGGGTTTCAACGGGATCACAAAAAATTGTTTTAGCTAAATTTTTGATTGCTATGTTCTCTGGCAAGACCTCATAGAAGCCAATCAAGCCATACAAATTTCAATACAAGACTACTACTACAGAGTACTAAATAAGTGAAGTCATAAACTATCACAACTCAATCACCAACAAAATGGACCCCAGTATTCTGTCAAGGTATATAAACTAAATCCAAATCAATCAAATATCACTTAAAATTTACTCCCACCATCCCACAAAAATCTTCCTACTTTCCCTTGGATGTCCTCAAAAAATTTCCTGCTTTATTTCCTTTGAAAAGACATGAATATGTGGCTCACAATTCTTTTGTCTCATCTACACAATTTCCAACCTTTGATCCATGTAACCGACCCCACCTAGTGGGATAAGGCTTTGTTGTTGTAGCTACACAATTTCCAACCACATGCTTTTCACTTTTCAACACTTCTCTTAAACCCCGTGAAAGTCAAACCAAGAAGTTTGTTTTATGGTGCAGAGGGTATCATAGAAACTTTCTTATTTCTGGAGCTTCCATGATCACTGCTTTTCTGCCATGAACACATCATCTGACACCATTTACCATTTTTATAACTAGATGCAATAGATGAGGGGATACATCTTTTACTCTTAAGTCTTAATCTCCATCCCATTTCACATGGAAAGATGGTTATGGGACAAAGGGAGTAATTTAGATGAGGCGATACATCTTATTGCTCATACGCTTGCTAGGCTAGTGGAGTCTTGCTGTGGTGGATGGGACTGCACCGCCAGATTTTATCCTTCCATTTTTGATGCAGTAAAGGAATTTCTTTTCCCTAAAAAGATGTAGAACAAAGGACATCGCATCTTAAGTGTGTAAGACTTAGATTAGAATTACTACATCTTATGGACTAAATGTAGAAAAACTTCTATTACAAAAGACTTCTTTTGGAGTTTAGTCTTTGAAAAACACAATCTGGTATGACTAAAAAATGAAGCTATAATCCTGCAGCGTAAAACCTTCAAAAGTGACTGTTTGAATTTAAAATACAGTCAATATTATTTCTATTAGAATTGCAAAATAATCTACATGTGTATTAAATTTTAACCATTTTATTTTAAGTTTCAAACATAAATTAACAAATCCATACTCAATTAGAAATTATCATTTTAATTTCAAACAATTTAAGAAATGGAACCATAAATAAAAAACAGGAGTGAGGTCTTGGCTACTTCCTCAATACTATCGTACTTGGTTGCATACACAGTGAAGGAGGCCGCATGCCGGTGGTGGCGACCGGAGATTGACTGGTTTCATGGAGATGGGCCATTAAACTCGTGGATGATTGCTGATAGACGATGTTGGAGATCCACTAGGAGAGAGAAGGAAGGGGAGTGGAGGACGGAAAAAAACGGGAAGGGTTTTTATAGAAGGGCACAAAATGATGGTGCTCTGGGGGAACTATTTAAAAAACCTTAAAATATCCAAACTAGATTCACTGGTGCTTTTTATAGAAGGGCACAAAATGGTGTGGCTTTCGGCTTTTGCCCCATAACTAGATTCAAATATTTTTCCTTTTACTCTTAATCTCCATCCCATTTTTACATGGGAAGGTGGTTTTGGGACAAAGGGAATAATTTAGATGAAAAGATACATTACAAAAAACTGGATGCAATAGGCTGTTGGCTACACAGCACAGGGTAGCCATCCGCTTACACTTACCGTAATGGTGAAATTACACCTCATGCTATAATGAAGATTCCGACCCTAGTACGAGGGGGTTTCAACTCATTATTTTGTTCTGTGAATGTTAGGTAGATCTTAAATGACAATATTGTTCATCAGATCCTTGTCTTTCTTATGACCATCTTTGTTTTATTTTTCAAGCCATCATCTCATTCCTCTGATGTTTAATATTATTTATGTTCAGCAACAAAGAAGAGCTTAGGAGGGATGCTGTTGATGCACTATGTTGTTTAGCTCATGCTCTTGGAGAGGACTTTACTATATTTATTCCATCCATTCACAAGCTACTGCTGAAACATCATCTACAGGTACCATGTTGTCTTGATTTACATACATCCTCATCATCATAAAAGTACACGAGATGATATATTGTAGTTGTAACATAACATTTGACAATCTCTCTTTATCCTTCAAAAAAAAGTTTCATTAGGGAAATGGGTCAAAACGCCAGTCTGGTTAATGACAACTTGAAGAAAAATTTACATACTTCTAAAGGAAAAAGTCTTCTAGATAAATGAATGACATCACAGTGTTTACCTGATGCATATTAACTCATTAACCAATACCTACTTTATAGAAGCTTCCTACTTTAAAACTATGCCCCACCCCTCAAGCTGGAGTATATTGATCAACTACTCTAAGCTTGTTACAAATGTATTCTATTCTAGGTCTTCTTACTGACTTTGTCACATTATCAACAAGTTATAATCTATGCTAGCATAACTTGTGATGATATGTCCAACATCATCTTTCTCCTCCTGATGAAGTGGTAGTCAACTTCAATATGCTTCATTCTTTTGTAGTCTATTATATTAGAAACAATGTGTATAGATGCTTGATTTTTAAACATTAAGCAAAATGTTTTTGTTTTGTTATACTTTAATTCTTGTAGATGCAGTAATGATGAGATTTTACATGTTGGAAGAGCTCAAGAGCCATTGCATATTATTTTGCTTATGCACTTAATCTTGCAACTCCACCGTATATCTTGCTTTTTTCAGAGATTAAAATTTCATCATCAAAATGCATTAACCAGATGTAGACCATTGATTAATAGGAAAACTAGCATAGGCTGCATCACAATGCCACACAATGTTGCTGTGACCTTTTTTTCATAGAAAGGTCCTTGTCTTGAAGCATTTTAATGTATCGCATAACCCAAAGACCCACATCCTATGGGCTATGGCCCATCACAAGGTTTGTCTTAGAGTTGACTTAACACACTAATAGGGAATAAATTACCAGGCCTTGTGATTATGAGGTAGTCTAGTTTTCCAACAAGACTTCTATACCTTTTTTATTAACCAAGAGCCAGTTTATAACATGCCAAATCCAATTTTAACACTTCAACCTGAAGGTGTTGTTAACTGCATCTGCAGCCTCTTCTACTCAAATGAGTGATGATGGTGAGGATTTTATCTCTTAATGGATAAGCATTTTAATGGAGACCATTGATACTGGAACAATGATGAAGACACGGTTAGAAATCCCTCGTGCTAATGATTGCTTTCATAGATTAGAAAGCAAAGGAAAATACAAAAAAGGAAAAGGAAATGGAAACAAGAATACAGAATAAGGAGTTGGTAAAGATGCCTAGGTGTCCTCTGCCTAGGAAAGATGATGGTGATGTGGCCTACATTATTTATCTCTTCTAAACAAATTTAACCACCCACTTTTTACTTTCAGCACTTTTCTTAAATTTAGTGTAGTGGATACTTTATCAATTGATCAATGAAAATATGTAACTAATGTAAGGATAGAAGATGTGGTTTGACCACGTGAATAATGTTTATGGACACTAAAATGGACTGACGGAGTACCATTTATATATATTTGAAAGCTACTTCAAAAGTTTTACAAAATAAGATGTGGCGTGACATTTGAATTGTAAATGAGAACCTTGTTTTGGGGGAAGGGAGTAATTTCTATGAATATTTGGACAATAGATGCATCAATTCATCGAGGGAAATGGAAACAGGGGTAAGTTAGTTTGCGGACATCTTGATTTTCAAGAGTTATACTGGTTTGTTGTTGTAAATTGCACTTTGCATTGTTAGAAGTCAAACATAAAGTTACTAAGAGTAATGTATGCTTTTTTTTAAAGATTACTAAGTGATGTCTCGTTATACAGCATAGTTAATGTCGCTCTACAAAGAGTACAGTTAATGCCAATGTTTTCTTGCACAGCACAAGGAGTTTGAGGAAATTGAAGGACACTTGAAAAGACGAGAGCCATTGATCCTTGGTTGCACAACTTCTCAAAGACTAAGCCGGCGGCTTCCTGTTGAGGTTATCAGTGATCCTTTGAGTGATGGGGAGTTCGATCATTATGATGATGGGATGGATGTGCATAGGCAACTTAGAAGCCATCAGGTATTTGCCATCTTCAATACGTTATAATTTGTATCTCTAAAACTAACCGTTTGAAGTTTCTATTGGAATTTACAGCCAAAACTGTCTTGCCTTCTCACTAACATATCATATATAGAGACACAATATTTAAAATTTACCACCTTATCCCCTCTAAATACACACAATCCGTATATAATATATCCAAGTCTAATATACCCCTCAGGCTAAGGAGGAGGATTGCATATGCTTAGACCGGAACATAATAGGTGAGGAAAATCTGTGGTAAATCCTTTGTGAAGATGTCTGCAAAATTGTTTCGAGAGGGAACATGTAAAACACGAATCTGACCCCATTGTACCTTTTCACGGACAAAATGAATATCAATCTCAATGTGCTTAGTGCGTTGATGTTGAACTGGGTTGCTGGGCATGTTGATGGCACTGATAATCACAATAGACTAGAGAGGCCCGTCTGAGAGGAGAGCCCAATTCAAGGAGTAAATTCCGCAGCCAACAAATTTCGGCCACAACATTTGCAATGCCCCGGTATTTGGATTCGACACTGGAGCGGGAGACGGTAGACTGTCGTTTGGGTGGCCAGGAAATGAGTTTTTATCCGAGATAAATGCAATAACCAGGTGTGAACATACGAGTGTCGGGGCATCCGGCCCAATCAGCGTCTGTATAAGAAACAAGAATGGAGAATGGACCAGGCCTCATAAGTAGTCCCATGTTGACTGTGCCCTTTAGGTGTCTCGAAATCCTTTTAAGAGCATGCGGATGACTCATACATGGAGCGTGCATGTGCAGGCTGCAGGCATACTTGCTCAACAACATAAGATATATCGGGTTGTGTTAAGGTGTGATACTGCAGCGCCCTTGCCAAACTTCGATATGTAGTTGGATCTTTGATTAACTCACCAGCATATATGGAGAACTTGCCGGTTGTGTCAATTGGTGTGTGAACATGATTGCAATCAGCCATCTTAGCACAATGGAGGATATTGTGAGCATACTTTTGTTGAGAAAAAAATAGGCCAGGTCGCATTCGAGTAACCAGAATGCCCAAAAGATAGCTTAGAGGGCCCAGATCTTACATTGCAAACTCTGCAGATAATCTTTTCATTAGGTGGTTTTTCAATGGCGGGGATGATTTGGTCGGAAGTATATCATCAACATAAAGGAGCAAATAAGCATCTAAACTGTGCCGGTAGGTATATAATGAGTGATCACAGGCACTGTGGTGGAAATTGAAAGTGGAAAAATTACTCACTGGTGACACATGTTTTATCAAAATAACTCTCAAGTCCCTCTATTTTCTAGAAGACAACAGAGGTCCTTATATTTTGTCGCAATAACGGGGAGGGGACATTCCATCCAATACCTCATCCATAAGTGTTAATAAATACGGAGTATGTTTTTTCCTATTTTGCCATTAATGTTTTATGATAATAACTTTTAGGTCTCTAACTTTAGTTTCTTTGTTTCGTTTTTTCTCTCTTTTTCATTTTGTTTCCTTTTTCATAAATATTTATTTGAAGTTTCTTCTAGTAAATAGTTTCAAAATTTTAAATTTTTGCATGCTATAAAAATAAATGAAATAAGGACCTTATCAAAAAAGAAAATTAGATCTCTCTTTTTTTAATATTCCATACAAAGTGTTTAAAAAAGAATCTTGAAGACTTTCTATGGAATTTGTTTGCTTATTTTTCAATTTTTTAATTTTACTTGGTCTTTTCTTTTTTAGGAATTTTGTTTATTTCATTTATTTTTATATCTTACAAACATTTTGAATTTTCATACGATTTAATAGAATAAATTCTAAAAAAACACATTAAAAAAGAGTAACAAAAAAAAAGAAAAACAAAGAAATAGAAAAGGAGCGACCTAAGAGTTATTACCATAAAACATTAAGGAAAAATAGGAAAAAACACATTTATTAATGCTTATGTATGAAATATTGGATAGAATGTCCCCTCCGAGTCATTACAACAAAATGTAAAGACCTCCGTTGTCTTCTTAAAAATAGAGGGACTTGAGGGTTATTTCAACAAAACTCGCATCACCCGTGAGTAATTTTCTGAAGCATTGGCCTAGACCATAAAGGGATTTCTTTAGACGGAAAACATGATTGGGATACGAAGGTTCCCTCAAGCCTATGCATGAAAACCGTCTCTCTGAAGTGCCTGAAAACATGATTGGTTTCTCATTTATTGAACAGAGCAATGCTATGAACTTTCCAAATAGTTGCATCTTTGACAACTGGGCTGGAAGTCTCGTCACAGTCCACCCCTACCTGCTGCGACCTGCCATCACCAGCCAACCGCGCCTTATAGCGCTCAAGAGTGCCATCAGACTTAGTTTATGTTTAAAAATCCAAATACACCGTATTATATTCATGTCTGAACAACGAGGTACAAGCTCCCAAGTATTATTATCGATAAGAGCATTAAACTTATCAGTCATGGCTCAGATGTAACAGGTGGGGTTAAGGCTTCTGCCAGTTTACGTGGAATGGGTTCAATGATGGTAGCATGATGATTAAAGGGCTGTTTGGGTTTGGAATGACCAGTCATACTGTGAGTTTGTATGGTACATGGT